TACATAACATACATACATTTACTACTAGCATATACATACATACATACATACATACGTCATACATACTACATACATTCACGTACATACATACGATACATACATACTACCATACATCACCGGTCGTACGTGACATACATCATACATACATACATTACATTACATACAATCACCGGTACGTACATACATACATACAGTACATACATCACGTACGTACATACATACATACATACATTTACATAACATAGCGATACGATACATACATACATACATACATACATACATACATACATACATACATACATACATACATACATACATACATACATCAGCGTTGTACATGCATACATACATACATACATACATCAGCGTTGTACATGCATACATACATACATACATAGCGGATTACATTGACATACATAGGCATACCATACATACATACATGCAGCGGTTGTACATGACATACATGACATACATACAACATCATACATACGCGATCATCAACATCATACCCATAGCATACATACATCAGGTTGGTACATGCACGACATAATACAACATCAGTCAGCGTCGATGTACATGCATACATACATACATACATACATCAGCCGTTTGATACATGCGATACATACATAACATTACATACATCACGTAACGTACATCACATCAAGATATGGTGTATGCATACATACATACATACATCACGTTACGTACATACGCATCAATATTGTACATACATACATAAATACATTTCAGTAGCGTAAATACACTCCAAATAGTTGTACCATACACACATACATACAGGACATCACGTTACCGTTACTTATCACCATATGTGTACATACATACATACATACATCACGTACGTACATACATCAATATTGTACATACATACATACATACATCACGTACGTACATACATCAATATTGTACATACACACATACATACATCCGTTACGTTACATATACATCAATACCTGTGTAACTACACACATACATACCTACATCAGCTAACGTACATACACCGAATAATTGCTAATGAAAACAATGTGGAAGGCCGCAGGTCGGTTTCATGGTCGTAAACCACACAAGGCAAAAATAAATCATGGAAACAGCGAAAGTAGCCATTAGTAACGATACACATTTCTCGCAGACTCTTCAAAGCTTTACAGTGCACATCAATAAGCACTGATGGCTGCTACAAAGAGTGTGCATTGTACCCTAACAGATTGAATCATGATTAATAAAAAACACGTTTCCGATTACGATGCATCATGGCGACGCTCGTATAAAAATCGCAACGTGAATTCTTGCCTATTCATTCACCTGCAATTTACAGCACGCAGCAGTGGTGCAATTCACAGCACGCGCGGGCCAGTGGTGCAATTCACAGCACGCAGCAGTGGTGCAATTCACAGCACGCAGCAGTGGTGCAATTAACAGCACGCAGCAGTGTGCAATTTACAGCACGCAGCAGTGGTGCAATTAACACGGCGCGCAGAGTGTGCGCAATTAACAGGGCACGCGAGCAGTAGTGCCAATTCACAGTCAGCTCAGTCTCCGCTCGGGCACTGTCCCAAGCAGTAGTGCAGATTTCACAGCACGCGAGCTTAGTGGTGCAATAACAGTACGCAGAAGTGCTGCAATTTACAGCACGCAGCAGTGGTGCAATTTACAGCACGTGTTCGGCAGGATCGCCAATTGCAGTTCGAAAACCAAACGAGTATAAAGATACAAGTAACAAATAGCTTCAACTAATGTGCGTTTCTTACTACTTTCAGGTTTTTGCCGTTCATGCTGAGCGCAGCATGATTTGAGCAAACGAAAATGCAGCATTACGGCTCTTTACTTGTCACCAGTATCCTCGCCGTAATTACTCACGGAGAGAGAGCGAGAGCGAGAGATTGAGAAGAGAGAGAGGGCAAGAGAGAGAGACGAGATGAGAGAGAGAGAGAGGGCGAGAAAGAGCTGAGAAGCGAGAGAGCGAGAAGAGAGAGAGAGAGAGCGAGAGAGCGAGAGAGAGAGAGAAAGAGAGAGAGCGAGAGAGAAAGCGCGCGAGAGAGCGAGAATATCGAATTCTCAGAAATATCGAAACGTTGAGAGACGAAATTGCCTCATCCCGTATTCATCTCCTACCGAACAGCCAAATGTTATATGTCATTTTCTCTCGCGTCTCTCTCTCTCTCTCTCTCTTCTCTCTCTTCTCTTCTCTCTCTCTCTCTCCTCTCTCTCGCTCTCTGCCTTCTCTCTCTCTCTCTCTCTCTCTCTCTCCCTTTCTCTCTCCGTTTCTCTCTCTTTCTCTCTCCTTCTCTCTCTCTTCCCTTCTCTCTCTCTCTCTCTCTCTCTCTCTCTAAGAGTGTTTCTCGGCTTTCCTATTTGTCTCAGAACAGAATCACTACCTTCTACCGTCATCTGTGACGTCATTAGAAGCATACGACACTACCGGCGTCCCCATAACGCGTGTGCATTCACATCCCCTTCACTACGAACAGAGAAGAAGAGGACATTGCACAGTACGGACAGAGAAAGGCCACGTTTCTCATCCACGTCCACGAGAAATTTCCATTCATCTATCTGCGAGGAAATTTCACGAACGGTGGCTGTAACGCTTAGCGAATTCGTGCAGAATAAAAGAGAAGAATAGAACAGAAGGCAATTTATCGGTGAGAAGGTTCCCGGGAGGTCTTTGAGTGGTGAGTACGATTACCATCACCATAGCAGCTTCCTGTTAATTCAGCACGATATTTCATCAGCTCCTCACTGCTAACTGAGTCACCTTCTATACAGGTTTATACAATTCTTAAATTGACTACGTCACAAATTTCCTATGGTAATATTTGTAAAAAAAATTGTTGCCATTTTTTTACATTAAAAGTAAGTACTAATGGGACTAAACGTATCGTCAAATTGTTACCCGATAAGATTGTTTCTCAACTAGTTAAACCCCAAAAAACCTGGACGATTTCATAATTAATTGCTTGCTATGGGCTATGTATAGCTGGGCTATGGGCTAGTATGAGTGACGAGCGTATGTTTACATTAAACAATATAGTAAAATAGAAAGTATAGTGCAGCAATTTAACCATAAAAAGTTAACAGAATTACTTACATTTTGTGAAAAACTGGAAATATTTTCTTTACTTTTACTATTTACGGTGACGTAATTACTTTAAACGCGTTACCACCTCATAAAAGCTATAAGTAACAATTTTCCTCCATCTTCATCTTCTAACTTTCCATCAGATGACGTTTAGACTCGCTCTCTTATCTCTTTCTTTTTCTCTTATCTCTTTCTTTTTCTTCCCTTTTCCCCTTCCATTCACACATAACGTAACACATGACTTCCACAAAATCTTCGAAAAATAATCTTCGAATTAAAATTACGTTTTTGAAAAAAAAAAAAAAAACTCGGTTCGACGCTATAATTACGTGTAACACACAGACACGCGCGCAGACTCACCCTGCCACCGCATCTGTGCTTCACTCTCAGAGACTACTGTCCGGTAATCCGTCTCGCTGCGGGCATGCCGCAGGTGTGCACTCACGGTCACCGCACACACGCGCGGCAGCTGCAGCAGTACGAGCCAGTGCTGTCACCGACCGACACAATCACGCGACTTCTCCTGTTGCGACAGCACGGTCTACTGCTGTTGCAGCTGCTGCTGCTGCTATTACAGCTGATGATGATGCTGCTGTTACAGCTGCTGCTGCTGCTGCTGCTGCTGCTGCTGCTGCTACTACTGCTGTTACAGCTGATGATGACGATGATGATGCTTTTGTGACCGTCACTGTTATTGTTGTTGCTGCTGCTGCTGCTGCTGCTACTGTTACAGCTTTTGCTACTGTCACTGCTGATATTGTCGTTGCTGCTGCTGCTGCTGTTGCTACTGCTACTGCTGCTGCTGCTGCTGCTGCTGCTGCTGATGATGATGATGATGATGATGCTTCTGCTGCTACTGTGGCTACTATTTCTGCTGCTGCTGCTTCACCACCGACCGTAAGCAGCCAAATCACGGATGCCACTGCCGCCGCCGCCGACGGAGAGAGAGAGGGAGCCGTTCACTAACACGGCAAGGAATGACGCTTCCTTTCGCCCGCTCCCAGCTTCACGAATCCCGATCAATAACCCGCGCGGCATCAGAGCATCGGAAACCCCGGTTTAGGCTGGGATGCGGGGATGCTGGGATGCGGGAAGGCTGGGATGTGGGGAGGCTGGGATGCTGGGAGGCTGGGATGCTGGGAGGCTGGGAGGCTGGGATGAGGGGAGGCTGGGATGCGGAGATGCTGGGATGCGGGGAGGCTGGGATGTGGGAATGCTGGGATGTGGAGATGCGGGGATGCTGGGAGGCTGGGATGTGGGGATGCTGGGATGCTGGGATGCTGGGGAGGCTGGGATGCTGGGATGCTGGGATGCTGGGATGCTGGGATGCGGGGGAGGCTGGGATGCTGGGATGCTGGGATGCTGGGATGCGGGGATGCTGGGATGCTGGGATGCTGGGATGCGGGGAGGCTGGGATGCTGGGATGCGGGGGAGGCTGGGATGCTGGGATGCTGGGATGCTGGGATGCGGGGAGGCTGGGATGCTGGGAAGCTGGGATGCGGGAAGGCTGGGATGCTGGGATGCGGGGGAGGCTGGGATGCTGGGAATGCTGGGATGCAGGGAGGCTGGGATGCGATGCTGCGATCGTGCGGTGACGACCAATTAAAGGCAGACGCACCGAGAGATACTGGAACGGTCGACACATGACAAGGGATCATTAGATGCTTCGCACGTTCCCCGCTCCCCCCACACTACTCGTTTCACCCGCACTAGACCGTCATTACGCACTGATTAATGGAATGGATAGAGCCGGAGAGGAGAGGTGACACGCAGGTACAATCAGGCACGGCATGTACCGCACGCGATACAGACACGACCTGGCAATGAACCAAATGCTTCAGAGGCATAACTAGTAATTAATTTCGCACAGTAGTCATTATATCAGGAGTAAGATAATATAGGAGTAAGATCCTATATTATCTTACTCCTGATTATATCACTACAATAATTGCCTAGTCTTGTTACTCGCCTTGCCCAATCATGGGTCACAATCCTAAGTGGCCCGCGGGCCCGATGTCCGTATTTTAAGGCTCGGGCCTGACACTTCTAATACTAGCAAGCCCGACGGGCCTGTAGAAAATCCACCCCAGCATGCAAAACCGTCCCCGGCCTGTAAAATGTGCCTGGTGGGCCTGTAAAATCCCTTACCTACAGGCCTGGCTGGCCTGTAAATTTTCAAACAAATTTCTACTTCTGCCCTATTCTTCACCCCGGCATGGCTTTTTTCTCGGTTACCAAACTTATTGGATCAGTAACGTGACTCTGTGGACTATGGAGACTGACTTTAATTGTAACACGATCACGACCAAATTGCCATTTCTAATCAATAAAAATATTTTGCGACAACACGCCGAGAACATGCCACTGGCGATTTCCATCACCCCACGCATAACAATGGCGTCTACATCACAATCAATCTTCACGTAGAATTACACACAAAAAGATTAAATATTATTCTTCTCTATTCGACCCACACATACGTCAGCGACAATTCGGGTCAGGTCATCACTACAACCTGTACAGACGCCACTACTTGCCTTCACACAAACTTAATTACAATAGTTTTCTTTTATTCTAGTCCAATAAAGGTTCTCGCAAGCAAAATAACTTCGTAACCTCGTAAATATTAGTGTGCAAAGTCAAACGGACTATATATCGAAGACAGAAAGAGAAAAGGTTTATCAAATCGACAGATCAATACTGCGGATTGCAGTAGAAAATGTCTCAGGTTGCAACTAACTAAAGAGGAAGGGGGAAATAGGAAGCAAAATAGTATATACGATCTAAAAATGGCGAATTCCTAGGAGCGATTAGTTTTACAGCACCTCCTCCACGAGATGAAATTGCGTGATGTATTAGGCGACCAATTCACAACGAGTTAATTTCCATAAAAATTACACCTGTCACTACGGTATATATTTTTGCTACATCAGACACTTTCTCCATTTTTCCTTTCACGCACATTAATGAAGAACGATAACGAGTTTTTGAAGGTATATTTATAGCACTTTTGTCGAGGAAATGTCACCTTAATAAACTTTTATGATTCTAGAAATCTAGAGCTAGGCTACTAAAAGGATTGCAGAGCAGGGGAGCTGTGCAGAATTCAAGGAAGGTTACTGCATCACCGAAAAAGGAAAGTATTCACAGAGTTCCCAACGAGAGGTAATATGCAATCAAACATTACAGAAAAGTATATTAATATTAGTTAATCATAATTACTTAATTTTGTTATAAGTGTTCAGTGACTTAGGCTCTGAATTCACGCGAACACTCAGAACTCTCGGAACAGCAGCATCGACTGTAACGAGATCGTTACCGAACAACGGGAGCGACGAAAGAAAATTCACAAAAGCCGGGAAACTCTAAAGCTAAGAAAAATTTCGGTCGTAATTTGGGACGAATACACTGTGTGGAACAGGTGAGTACAGGTGATGACTGTCATGCAACTATGGCTAGAAGGTGAAACAAGCAAGCCTAGGTGCATGACATCCAACTTGGTGACAAGCCAACCAGCCTAGACTAGCAAGAAGGAGTTGCTCGTTATTCCTTATTTTATTAACAAGTTATTCCTGCTGTAGAAACCAAGCAACGAGAGATGCTATCCGGTAGCGCTGAGAATGGGCTTCAGAGTGGCAGATTCTTACACACGATCCTGTTTATTTACTCACGGTGTTCAAAGATGACATAGCGCTGTTCAGGTATTCACTGGTTGTATCCTGCTCCACAGGCGGGGTGTAGCTGTTCCCAAACCCAGCGTACCTACCACCCTGACTGGGATGAAGATTACTGGAATAAAACATAATATATAAAGATCCAACCTTGCAACAATACATCTTCATGTAGTGATGATACTCATAGAAGTAATTGTTATTAGGGAGTAGTTCATCTAATTATTCTTTGATATTCAAAATCACTGTGTCCATCGTGCAATTTTAATGCTAGTATGTGTTTTGTGAAATTACTACTAACATTTACCCTCATAATATACTAGCATAGAGAAAATAATAACTTCTAACTACACTTACTTAAATTATTATAAAATAGCAAAAAATATTATTATAAAATTACTATATTTCGGCTGATTCACGTAGTATATTGCATGCCCCATTGACGCACAGATATATACTCTGAGAACTCAAGTCACTCGGTGCCACTGTGTCAATACTACTCTGCACAAAAACATTGGATGCTTTTACTGATGTAAAGATCAAGGTTTGAACAAGGAAGCTTTTCTGTTTAGTTTAATGAATTAAAATATTTGTATGCACAAAAAGGTTGCATAGAACACTACTTTGATAGGATACATGATAGATTTCAAGTGAAAGTCATTCTCTCTCTAATTCCTCTAGTACTTGATTTTTAGATACAATCAATGCAGTGCCACCTACAGCATAATAAACCTATATTTTTACTTACTCTGGTTTCATTGCATTTTCATTCAATTTTTGGGTGAAAAAGTCATCCTTGTGAGTGTTTACCTGGTCCCTAGATAAAATAACAATGGAAGAAATACACATAAATTTTAGAATTAGACAGTAATATAAAAGGATGCAGTGTCAAACTACTAGAGATAGGCAATGCCACAATAATGTAAAATCCATTACATTTCAAAGGAAAAACATGTGAACATCACATTCAGAATTGAGCAGCAAACAATTTCAACAAACTATGTCCAATAAGCATGCATGCATATTAATATGATAAAATTCATCCAGTTCCACTCAATGCTCCAATCTTCAGCAAAACTTAAATAGTAATGCGAGGTTCGATGTTTAGCTTTCACTAACTCAATGATCAATCAACTTTGACTAAACTCAATAATCAATCATCGATCACTTACATCGACATCCCGAATGCCTCCTCCATGGAGTTACGGTGTCCACTGTACGTGCTAGATGTGTGGATAGAGCTAGGGTTACTACTGACGCTGGCAGACGACGACAGGCTGGACACATAATTCCTAGCAGACGATGTTTCAATAGACCACGTCCTTCCTTCGGCGAGAGTGGAAACCTACAACAACGACAGCAGTCACAGGTCAGCAACGCTGCGCTATTCTTCCGGCAGAATAAACGCGAGGAATTCGTATGCGTCAGCTTCAGTCGAACTACGACAGCTTTGACAACAATACTGAAACTTCACAAAAGAAACATTAACAAGAGCCTGTGCGCTGATTCACACATGTCGTATTTTTGCCTCAGCACTGAACATCCACTAATCATGAAACACACCTGATAGACTTAACATCTTCAACATATACTACAGATGGTAAAAGACTGAAACACTCCATTATACAATAATCTACTAACAGATGGTGACCATAGCCACAACATTCACATACTATATTAACAATGATCCACCGAGAGCTGCTGCACGCACACACACACACACGCGCATGCTCGCACGCACTCATGCACCCACACACACACACGCATGCATGCTCGTACACACTCACGCACCCACGCACGCGCACGCATGCTCGCACGCGCTCATGCACCCACACCCACACACACGCATGCATGCTCGCACGCACACACACACACCCACACCCACGCATGCATGCTCGCACTCACTCACGCAACCACACATACATAGCATACAGGTATGCTACAGTGAAAAAAATACACGGGGGCTCGGGGCGATTCAGCCCCCCGAAATGCCAATAAGAGCCCCGGAAATGGCAAAACGAGCCCCCGTAAATTTGCATAGAGTTCAATGCAAACCAAATTTTAGAGTGCTATTTTCATGCGCGCGAGCTTGAAAAGTAGCCCCCGAATTTTTTTTTTACATTTTTTCCCTGGTATGCTAGTGTGACTTGCCTTATCTCTACACAGAGCTGCTGCTCTGCTGTTGTACTTGTGATATATACTCATGCCCTTTTTGATATCTGGCTGATCGGCGAAAAACTCCCTTGTGCGTCGATTTCCTCCAACCTTCATCTTTTCAAGTTCCGTGTCTTTCCACTTATCCATCGATATCGACCTTACAAAACTGTAACATGTAAACAACAATAAAGATATGAGACGAGCTTCCAATCTAAGCACCTAACAGACATGACTTTATAACCAATGCTTTAGTAGACTCTAAATACAACGTACATTTATACGGAAACTATTTCAACAGAAATTAGGCATTATTGCTAATACTAGGTATATTACTTACTCCATGAACGCACTCATGTACTTGTATTTACACATATTAATTTATTCTAAATGCTACACTATTCTAGTTAAGTGAACCCATCTTTTCATCTCACAAAATTGTCAAACCTACACTCATACGATGACACTCTAAGAACAGTCTTACCTAATATACTATAACCAGGTTTTTTAAAGTCAGGACACCCAGAACCTTTTTATTCACCTATTTTAACTACACTTTTCGCTAGACTACGAATAAAAAAATCGATTACACCTCAATTCTATGGCCTCCCCCAACATTTTTAGCTGCTGTTATCCGACACATTCCTACTATTTTTTTTAACTAACACCCCAATATTGGCAATGACAGCAAGTTGAGTTTCCTGCACATTTTTTCAGACAGGAACTTATACAGTTTGCTATGAACTCGGGTTTGAAGTTGCCGAAATACATGACTAGACAACCATCAGTTGTGTTTTCAATTTACCTGAGATGGACTCCAAGACCACGATGCTTGCCTGAGCATTCTAAGCAGATCCAGATTCCGTACGTGACGCTGGCCCATTGTGGGTTGAAGGCCTGACACTCAAAACATTTCTACGACGGAGAAATAATCGACGGAATTAGAATAAAGTAACAAGAATGAGATTGAACTTGTAAGATAATACGTCAAGTACGTAGCACAAGTCCGCACATTTCTTTCATACCAAAAACACGAGCTTCACTGTATAGCTTTATTTTAAGTTCCAATGAAAACTAATCAACCGACTTATGACTATTTCATTCTGACAAATCGAAGAAAATGCACTAATATGGTACACAGGTATAATCTTTTTAATTAACCATTACAAATTACAAATTACAAATTAGCTTATAGCTACAACATCAGCACTATACCAATGGCACCAACAGGGTTGGAGCTTATTATAAAAGCAACCATAGTTATGTAGCCTACATTACTGCTGTCAAAGGTGCAGCAACTGACAGTGGGAGAAGTTAGACGTACGTGGTTATTAATATTATGATGATGGGAATCTGTATATCATTTTCTTATTAATGTCCCACATTTATTAGCCTGAGACTGTCGTGTTCATGGTCAGTGCATCCTGCACCAGGGTCAAGTTGTTGTTCACCAGAATTCTCTTTTATGAATAGAGGAACAGCAACAAGTAATTTGTTACAGAATGCTGCTTAGAACGTGGCTATCTTTATCATATGTTGCGTAACGCAACTTTACTTCCGTACGTGAGAATAAGGTAGGCTAATAGTAATAACATGTTATTTGCTGCACCTATGACTTAGGCCCATGATGTGTCTGTCAATCTACATAGAGGGTTTGAAATTAGGAGCAGCAAGCAGCAGTTTTTCTGCCTACAGGGGTTCGTTTGCTGTCTGCTCTGGCAGTAGCTCTAGTACTATAGCCCGCGTACAGTTGCCGCAAAGCTATAGAACATGTTATGCCAGGTTTCGTAACTGCACCTGTCCCCCAATGCTTCCACGAAAAATGGCTCACAAAACCAAAGATTCTACATGGGTGGGTAAATATGCTGCCTGCTGTTTTCTTTGTATGCGATAACTATGACATACAACAAGTATGTAAAGTTACATGTATGCACAAGTGATCGACCAATTTTGAATTACTATACTTCTACTAGTACTAGTCATATTAAATACATCTTAGAATGCTTACATCATTTTCGTATTTTGATTTCAGTTCCTTGAGCACTCGGCGCGTGCGTGGACTAGCCATGATAATATATAATACAACTTGCTGATATAATGTTCAACTTAGCACCAAGTGCAGTGATTGTTGTTCACGCGTTCCCCACGGCTTATGTAAAAGTTGTACTTGTAGAATCTTACTGCGAATTGACGAGTGAGTCAGCAAGAAATTGGAACAATATACCTATTGCGTCGAACCTTACTAAGATCGTACTCGTAGTAAGAGCAAGACTAATACTAGTAAGAGTTAAACTTAGTTGCTTCACTGTTGCTACGTATAAATATGTACCACCTACTACGTCCGACTACGTGACCACCTAAATACCGACACGTAACACTATCGTCCACGAACTCTAGCTTTATAAACTTCTATTTCAGTAACGATTTAATGTCTACACTCTTTGTAATCGTTAACGGTGGACAGATTGAAATCTTCATTACTCGACTGACTGACTAGAAATATTAGAACTTGTCGTGTTGTCACAACGCCATTGCACAACTTCATTCACTCGGAAATCGCAATGTATGACGGGACTCGCCAGGAGCCGCTAGTGTCGACTCCCGTAAGGTCACTTCCGGTATAAGCTGTAAGTGTTTTCAGTTGTTTTCCAACAGTAGAGGGCGTCCATAGGCAGCATCTATGGGCAGCACCAGAGGCAGCACACAGAAATTAATTAAAAATACTTAAACAGTTACTATCAACGCACAACATGCATTTTATTCATGCAAAATCACTGCACATTAACCGTACAATCTTCACTCGAAACTTTTGCCCGCTTTATGATGCGAAATTCCACCATGTTTGTCGGGTACAGGTCTGAACCGTCTGTGCCTCAACCCTCAAACGCGGTTGTCCGGTCACCATGGCTACGGCACCTCACGGATTTGCGTAATTTTCCCACAAAACCGATTGAAATTTCAATGCTTTCCAGACGTCTATCAGGCATCAATCTCGCGTATGGAATAAACATTTCTGCACTCTAATGACGAAATTTGCCAGAGAAAAAAAGCGAGAAAACGGCTCGTTTGCACACGAGAAATAGTGCGGAGTAAACGGTGAACAATTTGCGGAGGGTTGCTGTTGCATGCCTCCTGTTACCTGTAGCACATTGTACCAGATATACCAGCTACTTTGATTGTACACTAACTACATATGCGTATGAAATTCATGCAATATATATATATATATAATATAGTATATATATATATATATATTAGACGTCAATGGGTAATGCACGCGAGGAATGTGCCTATAAAATGTATGGATTCAATTTAGAGAGAACGCGCGGGTGTATCGGCAGGCTATGGCGGTAGGCCTATATTGGTATATGATATATGGTTGCAGAGGTGGAAGCAGCTCCGCTTTTCTAATAATAGAAATTATTGTTGTTGTCCCATGGGACACACACGCTTCAAGCGGCGCTAAATCGTTCGGCAGATATGATAAGCGCGATGTTAGATAGTACAGCAGCAGCATAATTAAATCACAAGTTTGTATTTATATACTCTGGTACTAGGGTACGGCTCCGGTACCAAGAGTACGTTCCGGCAGTACCCTTGCGGGGGACATAAGACCCTCTCAGCCAACTGACGACTTTTGACGGCGACTGCATTCAATCTAGCGGCTGTCGTTACGTATTGTTTGGCGGCACAGAGATACGATACTCTCCGTACCAGGCCGTGTCTGCCCAAGCGTCCAAGTTACGATTACATCAAAAGAATATTTCATAAACCGATTTCGCCGAGTTCTACCTGGCCTTGACACATTTTGGCCTGAAACTGGTCGACCGGCGCAACCATGCCTGCACTCACATACCACACCTGCCGGGAGCTGGTTTCTCTCCCCGCAAGGTAATCCCCCGGATACCCGCGGTGATACTTTGAAGCTGATTAACGTTATTAAAATGTTACTTCCAACGAAGTTGCGTGACACACATATACGTGTTTTGCATCGCCTCTCGTCCTTACGGGACGTAAGGCATAAGTATATATATCCGTAGATGCAAGGGAGAGCCACGTGTATGTTGAGTTAACACACAAATGTTGTACACCGCCATACACAATGAAGCATAGCCGTGTGATTAATTAGCGTTATAATTTGGACGGAATGTGAAACAGCTCGAGTTGAGACAGAAGAGAGTTAGAGAGAGAGAGAGAGAGAGGAAGAGAGAGAGAGACGAGAAGACGAGAGAGAGAGAGAGAGAGAATGAGAGACGAGCGAGGGAGAGAGACGGAGCAGAGGTAACAACAGAGAGACAGAGATAAGAGAGCGAGAGAGAGAGAGAGAGAGAGAGAGAAAAAAAGAGGAGAGACAGCGAGAGAGATAGAGATAGATAGAGAGGCGCAGTTATGCAACTGCAAAGGAGTTGATTAGTGTCGGCGTATACGTCACATTATTAAAAAAATCATTTACGGTCCTTTTCAAAAAGACAATGTATACACGCCACGGAGGCAGGCATGTGCACGCATGCATTGCACACGCGCACGCACGCCGCGAACACACACACACACACACACACACACTACACACGACACACACACACACGCCACCGCACACACACACACACACACACACACACACACACACACACACACACACACACACACGCACGCGCCACGCAACGCACACATACACACAAACACAACCACACACACACACACACACACACACACACCACACACGCACGCACGCACGCACGCACACAACACACACGCTACGCAGCGCTGCGCCACACACCACGCACACACACATAAGAATGAAAATATTAACATACGCAGAAAGAAGGCACCGGGCTAGTCTATCATCAACATACCCTGGAAGCCTAATTCATGTCGATAAGATTTGTTTTACTTTTACTAAGCTCCTTCTCACGCTTTCGCTTTCTCTGTGCTCATTCTTCCTCTCCTCCCCCTCTTTCCAACCTTCTCTTCACCCATCTATCTGTCCATCTATCTATCTATCTATCTATGCTAGCTTATCTATCTAATCTTCTATCATCTATCTATCTATCTATCTATCTATCTATCTATCTATTTATCTATCTATCTATCTATCTATCGGTCTATACTTCTATTCTATCTATCTATCTATCTAATCTATCATACTCTATCTATCTATCTATCTATCGAATCTATCTATTCATCTATCTATCTATCATCTCTACCTATCTATTTATCTATCTAATCTATCTATCAATCTATCTATCTATGCTATCTATCTATCTATCTATCTTATCTATCTATCTATCTATCTAATCTATCTATCTATCTATCTAACTATCTATCTATCTAATCTATCTATCTATTTATCTATACTCACTATCTTCTACCTATTCTATCTTATCTATCTATTTATCTCATCTATCTATCTATCTATGCGATCCGAACCATCCATCCAATTCTCTCTCCACCTGAACGCGAGTACAGGTTAACTCCATCTTACTTATTAATCAACTGATACAACTTACGCGGGGGAAATATAGCCCGACGACTGCTGGCGGGTATTTATAAATAAAGCCAAATAGATGATCAGCGATATTAAATCGATGCTAATAATAAAATGAGAATAATAATAACATAATTGATGGTTAGAACTATAATAATACAAAATAAGTCGATAGAAGAATGGTTTTTTTCTTTTTTTTTTTTTGTTTTTTCGCGTCGAGTCAGTAAGAGCTGATTTACCGCTGATACAATTTGGCATGACGGCATGGCACAACCGCTGGCCCATAAGAATTATGCAGACACGTTGCTGTCTATGTATGTCTCTCTCCTCTCACTCTCTCTCCTTCCTCTCGCGTCTCGCTCTCTTCCCTCGCTCTCTCTCTCTCTTCTCTCTCTCTCTCCTCCTCGTCTCTCCTCTCTCTCTTCCTCGTCTCTACCCCCTCTGCTGTTCTCTCTGCGCCCTCCTCTCTCGGCGGTGGGGCTGCGCGTCGCTGTGTCGGTATATGTGTCTGCCTGTTGTGTCCTGTCTGTTGGCTCTCCCCGCTCGTCCATTTCGCCCGCGTTTTCTTTCGCTCTCCTGCCCTACTCTCCAATCTCTCCCGTCTCTCTTCTTCGTTATTTGCCTCGCTTTGTATTCCGCGTCGCTGCCCACGCCTATTATGCAAACGTAAGAGGATTCCCGCAGGGGTTATATAAAGTCATCTAATGCTCGTATGGGGCACCGCCCGGAAGGAACAACGCTATAACCCACAACGTTGCCATTGCTATCACGATCTGCAATCAGGCATACACGATCAAAAGATCCTTCGATATGAAAGCGCCCCGTGGTGCGCGCATTACCAGTTTAATCATGCACGTATCCTTGGCCACCTGGATAGCGATGCTGTCAGGGAATCAGGCCACTGACTCCGCGAAGTAGGATAAAAGCGAAGAGCGAGAAGCGCATTCAGTGCGCACAACTGCTCACACCGTAGTCAAAGGTTCGTCGGCCAGGAGATCTATAAATAATCAAGGGTAGACATCGTTGTCGAGTTTCTACTTCAATCGTAATACGCGGCCCAGCTATGTGCTTGCCGTATTAAGATCTAGGGAGAATTAGAAGAACAGGTTAGACACGTAACGCGAACGAGAATCACTGAGTTCCTTGACCAGAATTTTATGTTAATAGTTTGACAGATCCCGCTTAGTATCTCACGCATAATTTCGTTGTACGATAGAAGCAGAATGAAATTTGCTCAAAGGCGTTTGTAAAGCGGCTGGAAATGAATATACTTAAAAACTTACCAGGACACTACATGCCCGACTGATAATCCAGTATGTAGAGAGTTATCGTGTGAGAGGTGCCGATGCCACATCGTTGTACAGTAAGAGTAGATCTGTCGCGACGTTTTGATCTGATTACAGTGCCTGCTAACGGTACGGTCTGTCGGCGATCTTACAGGATGAAGGTGTTTTGGTAAGCACAGCAATCTGCTGCGGCTGTGTAGCCCATGGCTCTGAGCAAATGCCCTGGGAGAGGAGGCCATCAAAGGGGCTCGGCAAGCGGCGGAAAACTTGACGGAGGAGAGGCGGCAGGCGGGAGGCGGAGCGCAGGTCAGCGGTGGCTTGTCCAGCGCTACAGCTACCGGCAGCTCTGGCGAGCAGCGGCGGCAGCAGCGCGGCTGGCCGCTTGGATTGCGGCCAGCTGGTGCTTCGGTGGCGCTGCATTCGTGGCTGCTTCCCAGGCGTGGAGGGCAGAAGAAGCTCAATGCGGTCGGAGCAGGACGTCGACAGTCTGGCGGTGCTGGATGGTGCTGCTGGCTGTTGCTGCTTGTGGTGCTGGTGGCCGAGCAGCTGGTGCGGCGTGGATTTCCTGGAGCTGGTTCTCCTTGGTGCGCGCTGGAGCTCGGCGGTGGTGGAGGGCAAAGAGTCACCGTCACCAGGACGTCCGACATCTGGCGGTGGGTTTGCTGGTGGGTGCTGGTGGCTTTGTGCTGGCTGGTCCGGTGCTGGTGCGGGCTGCCAGGTAGTTTCCGTACTGCTGGTGGTGCCGGTGGTTTCCGTGCTGCTGGTGGATCCGGTGGTTTCGGACGCGGTGGCAGCAGCTTCAGCAGCGGTAGCAGCTTCCGTAGCGGCGGCGGCGCTGGCAGCGGTGGCTTCAGGTCTTCCGGTATCAAGAGTGGTGGATCATTTGTCAGCCTGCCAAGTAAGTAATTCGTTAGCGAATGTGTTTCTTAGCGAGTCTTTCCTTAATTGATTTAACCGACCTCACAGTACGAGATCATTAAAGTTATTGAGACGGTATGTAAAGCAGTCTGGAATATATATTCATGTATATATGCATTTACCTGAAATAAATCTGTTTCTGTTATCCTCTTTCTTCAGCTTTTGGTGGCGACAACACCGTCGACATCAACAACTTCGCCAACATCGATGCCAGCGCCTTCGGTTTCGACAACTTCGGCAACCTCTACATCAACGTCGAGGCTTTTGACTTCAACGGATGGAGGAACACCGCGCACTCCGCCGCTCCCCGTGAGGCCCTGAACGCCGCCCAGACCGAGCAGATCGTCATCGGACGTAGATTCCGTAACGGCTACGCCCGTCAGACGGAGACCAGCGGCGCCTCCAGGGAGGGAAGCGGAAGCGGAACCTCCGGCATCGAGTTGTCTGCCACCCGCACCGCCAGCCAGGACGCCACCCAGCAGTTCACGCAGACGGCTAGCGGAGACGGCAGCACCGAGCAGGGAGCCGGATACGGATTCGAGAAGAACAACAACGGAGCGATCCGCTTCGTTCCCGTCGCCGTGGATTCCCTGCCGGTCCACTCCGGACCCCGCAATCAGCTGCCAGCCAGCGCCCGCCGTGTTTAAACATGGATGCCTAAACGACACCCTCGTAGCTGATCCACGGTACTCCACAGCTCCGTGCAGCAGCTGCGGCGTGTATTTCAACGAGCAAACAGCTTAGACTGAACCGTACATAAACGAGGGCACCATATTATTTTCGGTTTAGGGCGAAGTACCTCTTTTTAGAGAAATTTAGGCTCAAAATCCCGAAATTGTTATGAGAACCTTAAAGTAAGATTTTAACCGGGCTAAGCGAACGCCCGAGTATATTACGAACAACTGACGAACTTTCAACTACTCGTGTTAAGCAATTGTGACCATGAGAGACCATCATATTGTAAATACTAACTTTTGTAGTAATAAATATTTGAAATTGCATTAAAAACATCGTTGTTTCGTATATTTGAAAAAGCATCGTGTCGGTAATATTATCTACACGAATAACGTGATCTCATCCTCTCTTTCTCCTCACCTCATCCCCCCCTCTGCCTCTATTTCCTTCTCCTTCCCCCCTATCTCTCTTTCCTTCTCCATCCCCCTATCTCTATTTCCTTTTCCCTCCCCCTCTCTCTCTCTCTCTCTCTCTCTCTCTCTACCCCTTCTCTGTTTCTCTCGCGCCCCTCTCTCTCTCTGCGTGGGCGCGCGTGTGTGTCGGTATATGTGTCTGCCTGTTTGCCTGTCTGTTGGTCTCCCCGCTCTCCATTTTGCCCGTTTTCTCGCTCTCCTGCCCTACTCTCAATCTCTCCCCTCTCTCTTTCTCGTTATTGCTCGCTTTGTATCCCCGCGTGCGCTGCCACGCTATTTGCAAACGTAAGAGATTCCGAGGGTTATATAAACACTAATGCTCGTGGGCACGCCCGAAGGAACAACGTTAACGCCCAACGTTGCATTGCTATCACGATCTGCATCAGCATACCACAAAAGATCCTCGATATGAAAGCGCGTGGGCGCGCATACCAGTTTTAATATGCACGTATCCTTGGCACCTGGATAGCGATGCTGTCAGGAATCAGGCCACTGACTCCGCGAAGTAGGATAAAAGCGAAGAGCGAGAGCCGATTCAGTGCACAACTGCTTCACACCCGTAGTCAAAGGTTCGTCGGCCAGGAGCTCTATAAAATAATCAAGGTAAGACATCGTTGTTGAGTTTCTATCAATCGTAATACGCGGCCCACTATGTGCTTGCTATTTAAGATCTAGGAGAAATTAAGAAGAACAGGTAGAACGTAACGGAACGAGAATCACTGTACTGACCAGATTTTAGTTAATAGTTTGACAGATCCCGCTCTAGTATCTCACGCATTAATGTTTCGTGTCGATAGAAGCAGATGAAATTGTTCAAAGGGTTTGTAAAGCGGCTGGAAATGATATACTAAAACTACCAGACACTAATGCCCACTATATCCAGTATGAAGAGAGTTATGTGTGAGAGGTGCCGATGCACATCGTTGTACATGTAAGAGTAGATGTCGGACGTTTTGATCTGATACAAGCTGTAACAGTACGGTCTTCCGATCTTACAGGATGAAGGTGTTGGTAGCAACAATCCTGCTGGGCTGTGTAGCCCAGGCTCTGAGCGAAGCCCGGGGAGAGGGAGGCATCCTGGGGCTCCAGGGCGGAAACTACGGAGGCGGAGGCGGAGGCGGAGGCGGTAGCGGTGGTTCCAGCTACAGCTACCGGAGCTCTGGCAGCAGCGGCGGCAGCAGCGGTGGCGCTGGATTCGGAGCTGGTCTTGGTGGCGCTGGATTCGGTGCTTCCCAGGGTGGAGGGCAAAGAGTCATCGTCAGCAGGACGTCGACATCTGGCGGTGCTGGTGGTGCTGGTGGCTTTGGTGCTGCCGGTGGCAGCAGCGGTGGCGCTGGATTCGGAGCTGGTCTTGGTGGCGCTGGACTCGGTGGTGGAAGGCAAAGAGTCACCGTCACCAGGACGTCGACATCTGGCGGTGGTGCTGGTGGTGCTGGTGGCTTTGGTGCTGCTGGTGGTGCTGGTGGTGCCGGTAGTTTCCGTACTGCTGGTGGTGCCGGTGGTTTCCGTGCTACTGGTGGATCCGGTGGTTTCCGTGCTACTGGTGGATCCGGTGGTTTCCGTGCTACTGGTGGATCCGGTGGTTTCCGTGCTACTGGTGGATCCGGTG